CTTCACTCTGTCGCTGCGTTTCAGCGCCATGCAGGCCTATAATTACCTACAGTAAGGAGGTGTGTGTGCATTTTTGTGGTTGTTTTTTTGAGGCTGGGAGACAATCTATCCACATTCTGACCTATAGCTGGGTCAGTTGTACGAGTAAATCTTTCCCACAGCTTTGCAGCTGCCAGGCCTCCTGAGTGGACTTAATAGTAGATCACCGCTCTATGATTAACGTACAAAGAACAACAGAAGGGATCCCCACAGCTAGCCGTATACAAACAAAAAGCTCCATTAGTGAATGGAATATATAATAATAATAATAATACATTTAACTTCATCTCAAAAAAACATGTCAAAGTGCTACAGAAAATGAAATGCTACATGAAAACACAGTTAAAGGGGACCAAAAGCTTTGTTAAAAAGAAAGGTTTTTAGGCCTTTTTTAAAACACTCATTGTTTGGAGTGTGAATTTGGATACTTTGGTTACGCTGCCAAAATGTATCTGAAAGTAGGTTCAGATATAATGGAATTGGTGTATTTGCCAGTAAAATTTGTGTTTTGACCCCTACAGTTAGATATATAACTATTATTTAGCTTATTTATTCATCTTTCTGGTATATTTTAGATTAAAGACGCTGCAGCACGTCTTTTATCTGGCACATTACCCCAATTTTAGCCTCATTACACTGTCTTGCTGTACATTTTAGGATTCATTTTAAAGTTCTTTTTTTTTGTTTTTTAAGTCTCTCCATGGTCTTGCTCCATCTTATCATTCTGAGTTGCTGCACCTTCATGCACCATCGCAGATGCTTAGCGGCGATCCTGCTTTCTCTGTGGCAGCTCCAAAAATGTGTAACGATCTTCCATCGCAAATTAAATTGTCTACTTCTTTGTCTGATTTTAAATCACTCTTAAAAACTCTTTGCCTTGGCTTTTTAAACTGTGATTTTAGTCTGTGATACATTATTTATAATTTTTTTTTTTATTATAGATTTTAAAGTTCTGATGTTAATTTTGTCAGCTAAAGACATGTTTTAGAGTCTGTATACTCCAGTTAAAGGTATAGTAGAGGATTTTCTTTTTCCAGGTGGATCATCTAAATCAGTGGTCCTCCTAATTGTCAATCATTTTGGCGATGTGTTTATGTAAGGCCGTCCTGCATGCTCGTCCCCATTTTTATTTACCGGTGGTGAGTCTGACATACTGGAAAAATTGCAAAATCTTCTTTTGTAAAGTAAGCTTGTATGAGCGATGCAAACAGAGCGTATACCAGGAGAGGTTAATGGAAGTGGGGAGGGCGGGTCTTTTCAAAAATTGCGAAAATCCTCCACTATACAGTACCTTCAATGATTAATAATAATAATAATTGAACTTTATTGATCTCACATTGGAGAAATTCCCTCTCTGCATTTAACCCATCCCCTTGGGGAGCAGTGGGCTGCCACTGTGCGGCGCCCGGGGAGCAGTGTGGGGTTAAAGGTCTTGCTCAGAGGCAGGCTGTGGGGATCGAACTATGTACTCTCAGAACACAAGTGCACTGCTCTAACCACTAGGCCAAATTTACTAAAGATCACTAACTTATTATTTCAATGATAAATCACAAGCAATCGTTTCAGCCCTAGTTCACATTTTTACCTCATTTTCTGACTTGATATAACATGAATATAATAAAAATTTTTTAGAGTTGCTAAATTTCCCCATTTTGTTTGTTTTTTTTTTGCTTGCCTGGATGTTTAAAGACAAGAAAACGCCTGAGATGATGTTTGCTATTTCCGTCATTTTGATGGCCAGATATTTGCTCTTATCACCCTCTAAGGAAGGACACTGAGAAGATAGAATATCTCCTTCAACTAGAGATTGACTGATCTATGGGGTTGATCTCTATAGATACTCATTTTATTCTTTAAGAGAAGCAGATCAACATCTGAACAGCTATTAGATAATTTTTAAGATGTTTTAAATCTGTTTTTTATGGTTGTTTAAAAAAATGAACGGTAAAGTTGACACCCAAAGCCGTCTTTAGTGTGTTTGAGTTAGCATTGATGCCTTAAATGCAGCTCCTGCTGCTGTCCTGTTGCATCTGAACGGGTCCTGCTCCTCAGACCAGGTCATGGCCTTTCATGATGCCTCTCCTTCCTGACCTGTTGCCCCTCCCAACATCAGCTGCAGGCGGATGTTTTGCAGAGATGATTCATGACTTTTCAGTTGTGACTCTCTACTTCCTCATCGCTCAGATCAAACAGATACAGCTGAAAACCTGAAGCCGGTGTGACTGGAGTAACACGTCTGAACTTTTCCTCAGTTTAATAATCAGATCTAATGTCTTCCTGGATCTGGCCTCTCCTTAAGGTTCCTATAAGTTCTGCAGCTAAGGTCTGTGCTGTGAGCCTCCCTGTGGTTTTTCTCTCTGCGTCATGAAGCGCTGATCGCAGTACAGCAGAACAGGAAGAGCTTCTTGTGTCACAGTGTTTTGATTGGCATGTTTGAAGCTCCCACAGGAGGATGTTTTGAAAGAGCGCGGTTACGAGGAAAGTGTGAGAACACAGAAAACATGGCCGCCACGCACTTCAAGGTCCAGAGACCGCCTCTGTGCTTCTAATCATTAAAGACTGGGATTGATGAGGAACTGAATTTAAATCTTTTTAATGTGAAGCTGTACAGTGCTAACGAGCTTCTATGTGGGTGTTTAGTTTATGTACTGAGAACGGAAATCTCTCTCTACTCTCTCAACTGCGAGTTGTTTAATAATTACTCAGCTACCAGTTCACTGCATGGTCTACATGGCTGAGACTGAGGAGGCACTTTTCACCAGGTCCTCTGCTATGGAGTGAATTTTGCTCCGTTATTGTTGCAAGCAAAAAACACATCCACAAAATGTAAATGATGCAATAAGAAAACTTTGAAGAAAAAATATCAGAGAAAGCAGCAAAGTTACTCACAAACATTTTTCAAATTATTTTATACATTTTATTTATGTTTTATTTTTTTTTGCATATTTAATTTTTTTTTCTATCTTTCGAAATGATTTTTACAGATTTAGTTTCTCTAAATTTCTCTTCGATTAAGTTTTATGAATTTCATTCTTTTTAAATAGACTTTTCCAGATTTTGCCTTTGGCTTTCCTCCGGGCTGAGGAGCAAAGACTCACTTTACTGTTGTCACTGAGCGAACGTTTGTAATTGGCTGGAAGTGAAGAATATGACATGTATGCTGGTGAAGATTCTCAAGCTGCATTCACACCGAATCCCCTGTCACACCTTGACGACAGAGACCAGGGTACGCCTAAAGTACTGAAAAACTGGCATAAACGCTGGCATACGTTGGATTAGTTATGGGTAGGTTTTGAATAGGTTATAATCACGCTGAAGAACGCTGACATACAGCGAATACGTTGAGACGTATGCCATCGTTTTCCATATGTGGGGCATAAGCTACAGGTGAATTATCTGATTGTTGACACATGTTATGTTAAGTGTAAGTTACTCATGGCGTCTAGCTTATCCTAAATCTATGAGTAACTTCTCCTCCAGACTTCATCCTCATCATAGGGTGAGTGTGATGGATCCTGCTTGCGTTCAAGACCAACAAACTTCCTAGCAGACATGATGCTGAATCTGCTGCGACTGCAAACCTTCTTTCTTTCTTTTTCTGTTTTCTTTTTATTTATTCAGTTTTTTTGGGGCGGGTGCATTGCTACTACTGAGGGGAGCAGCTTTAACTGATGCTTCGTAATGCGTTACGCTGCCTTGCGTTAGGCTGTCGTTGGACATAAGGTCTGGATTCGTTATGAATACTCTATGTATACGCCCAAAATTGAAAAAATATATAGCAAGTTCAGCGTATGCCGGAGCTTTAGGAAATTCTGGGAGGTTGGGCATACACTGGTTAACTCCGCAAGGTGTGACACGACCCTAAAAAGGTCTTACAATCTTAGATCTGGCCTAAAAATATTTTTGATTTTGTTTTGAGTTTGCTCTACTGATGAAGATAGATGTAAGTGCAATAATCTGCCAGTGCAGTAAGACAATGGCAGTTGTTTAGAACTTTGGTTTTGAGAATAATAATAAGAATTGAATCAAAATCAAACTAACTTTTTGGCCGTTTTTGTACTGTGGGGGACCCTATGAAAGCTCAAAGGTGAGGCAGGCAACGTAGCAGGAATGTCAGACTTTCTGTTTTCCTCAGAAGTCCTCTTTAGTAGAGATCAACAGAAACAGGTTCATAAAGGACGATGCAGATAGCTGCTATCATTTCTTTCTCTGCACATATTTCCATAATAAAAATGACAGAAGCCCTCAATTTAAACAAAGCAAATAAAAATTTTAACAAATCCATCATTAACTATGGAAAGCAGACGGAGGAAGGAGATACATTTACATGCACGGCTGCTAAATTATCTGAACAAATCGGTAGGCTGATCTGGTGGTCTTTCTTTAATTTAGTGCTGAATCTCATGTCTGCAGAGCTGCTGCTGTTTAGACCCTGTAGCTCTGAGTAGTGTGATGTCACACCTTTCACAGCCTAAGCTGCTCATCTCCTTATTCTTTATCTTTGCTCCTCCTTCATCTCTGTTGGCCTGCTTTTTTCTTTTTCCTATTACTTGAAATAATTGTTTTGCAGAGCTGCTTAATCATTGAACTAAAGAGAAATCCATCCATCCCAGACTACTGTTGAACCTCCTTGTTTCTTTAATAAATGAATAATGATGTTAGGAGGAGTTGGAGTGGCTGGTTTCCTGTGTAGTCGGTCAGAGTCTGTTTCCTCCCTCTGCTTCTCCTTTGTGGGGAGGAGCCCCTCTGACATGAACGCAGCCTCTTCTCATCAAGGCTGTCTGAAATCTTGTAAATCTTTAGGATTAATAAACCAAGCGGCCTCTTCCAAAGCACTTTATTTTTTATTAAAAGGGAACAAATCTAAAGCTGCTTGTTCATGCTCAGTATTATTTAGTGAACCCTGCTTGAAAAACCTTCCCTTCGTCACTTATTTGTTTGTTTTTTTCCCTCTCTTTCAGTCCAGACGTTCAGAATGAAGTTGGGTCTGTGCCACAACTGATGCTCCCGTCTGCTGAACTCAACGATCGATCCTGACCTGGTAGCATACGAATGGCCCAGGGAAGCCAGCAGATTAACATTCAGGTTTTGCACGAGCTGCGCCAGAAGTTCCCAGAAGTCCCAGAAGTTGTCGTCTCTCAGTGCGTTTTGGAGGTAGAGAAATTCCTCACTCTTTAAAAACAAGCTTTTCACCAAACACTAAAGTAAAATGTTTATATTTTATTCACCTCCTTGGTGAATAAAAACAAACATGATGTGATCTACTTTTGAGCATCTGGCATTTTAAAAGTGAATTCTAAATAATAAATAAATGTCTAGAAAGATTTCTTGTTTTTACTGATAAGAAAATAAAGTTTTGTGTCAGAAATACAAAAATCAAGATAAAAAAAACATTTAATTGATCTAAAGGTGATTGATCTCATTGAGGGACATATGATTAATTGATTGTATTCTTTTATTTCAAGGACATTTTTCCATAACATGAAGGGATAAATCTAATCTAAAGTTAATTATACTTTAATTTCTTGTTCCAGCTGTATTAAATACTGACTGAAAAAACAAAATGTGTATGTACTGAATTACTGAAGACATAAGGATGAATACAAAATGTGAAACCGTTACATTTTTCCAATAAACACTAATACTATTGTTAAAAGATGGGGTATGTCGCTGTGATATCAGAGCGACACTATTGAATTAACACACTAAAGGCTGGCTAACTGCTAGCATGTCTTTTTCCATCATGCTACATATGTTTTAGCGTAATGCCCTCCACTTTCCTGTCACCGCATCCTCACCTTTTAAACACAGCAGATAATTCTGCTGCTCCTCCATGCAGCACAGCTAAATGGGAGCTATTTAGGTAGGAACTAAAGGAGTTTATCCAGAGTTTATATTTACAACCAGAACCTCAGAAAGTTCTTTCTGTATCCTTGGATCCATTAAACTGTTGAAACAATCTGGATCCATTTATGGTTCTGCTCTAGCAGGCCTGGCTTTACTCCACTGATCTCTATTTATTCACTGGATTGCTGATTGGACGTTGGTAGTACCGGGTTCAAGCGAAGCCACCGGCCGCCATATTGCTACTCCCTAGTTAGACCGGTTGCAATGGAAACAATCTGTGCGCTACAGCATCGAGCAATGATGATGTTCTCATTTTCAGGGGGGCTTAAGACTTAAAATTTAGGGGTGTAAATAATAATTGTTTAGTATCGATGCATCAATCCAACAGCCGACGATCCCATGCTTCGACATGTCCGCAACAGTATTGATTCATGTTTCATGGTCTATTTTATCCATTTGCTCCTGGACGTAATTCTGACTCCCGTGCTGCAGTGGAGCTAAACCGATTTTGCCCTCCTACCTCACTTCCTCTAGCTACTACCCTCTTTCTGCCTGCAGTGTTTTTTTGATGCAAGGCCTTTCAGAATCTATAACAGGGGCATTATTATTCTTCAGTGAATGAGGTTTTCATAGGCCTAGGTGGAGAACAACTTTGCTACTTCTGTTATTTGCTGTTGTTTCTCAAAAAAAAAAAAAAATGCAGAACGATATTACAGCTTTCATTGATTTATTTCAAATTTGAAACATTGTCTAGCCTGTAAGAAAAAAAAAGAAAAAGGAAAAGTTACCAATTAATCGTATTGTGGTGTATTCTTGAGTATCGAAAATAATCGAATCGTTGGGTCAGGAAATTGATACTGAATCGAATCGCCATGATGGGTGTGATTTACACCCCTAATCACATTGCATAGTCATTATGAGGTCAGTAAAGTCTCTAAATCATGTAATATAAAATATTATACAAACCCATTACTATAGAATTAATGTGTTAATGGAGCAGAATAATACAGATGTGCTGAAAGTGCATTTTTACTGCGTGTCTCCGTGGGAGTGGGGAGCACCAACATGGTAGATGATGGCTTCACTTTTTTGGGCCAATCGGCAATCCAGTGAATAAATAGAGATCAGTGCTTTTCTCTAGCATTATCACTCTTTCAAAACCAGTTAAGCTATGGTTAAGAATGAACAACAGCGCCTCTAGTGGACAAACTAACATCACTACACTGAAAAAAATTCCCTCTAAGCGGATGATATCAATAAATTGGACGTAAAAAACTTTAATCCTAACAATAAAATGACAGTTTAAAAAAACTTTTTTCTTACACACCATCGCCTTCACTTTAATTTCACACATCCTGATGCCTCTGGGTTACTATGGTAACTACCTACCATGCAGCAGTGCACCATATGTTTAGAGACAGACGTTATTTTAGTGGGTATGGGGTATAGGGGAGTGGAGGCCTAGTGGTTAGGGCATAGAGCTTGAGCTGAGGTTCTGAGTTCAAAACCCAATCCCACAGACTGCCACTGTGGACTCTGAACCCTGATTGCGCCCCAGGCCACACAATGGCAGTCCGCTGCTCCGCAAGGGGATGGGTTAAATGCAGAGGTACATTTCTTCAATGTGAGATCAAGTTCAATTATTGGTTTCCTCTCTCCTCACTACTGACCTGTTTTTTTGTTCTACCAGCCTGTGGTTTGTTGAATAGCTATAAGTAATGCAGCCTAGTGGAGAATGGGCAGGATAAATGTACTTTTAGAGGGGGAGATATGGATAGACCATAATGAAGTTGTTTTAATGTGTTTTATGTTTCCTATTGGCATTGATCTGCATGTAGTTGTTAGCAAAGAGCTGCTGATATTCATGTTTACTCAGAGATCAGTGAACCTGCACAGCCAGAGAGTGAGTTTGGACAGGCGTCTCTCTAAAGCATCAAACTGTAACCCATTCATTGCCATCTAATGAATCCTTTCTTCTCCTTCTCCTTGCAGTGCAACAACAACCTAGACGCTTGTTGTAAGTACTTGTCCCAGGTCAGTCCAGGCTACCTTTACAGCGACGGAGGCAATCTGAGCTTTTCCGACGACCCCAGCTTGGCTCGGCTCCGGAAGCACATGACCCAGCTGAACCTGGGCCTGCAGTCTCAGAATGTGCATGCGGCCCCGGTTCAGGACGGCCTGAGAATGAACGGCAGCAGGACTCTGTCCCACAGCATGAGTGACGGGCCCCTCCAGACAGGACAGGCCCCCAGCAGTGACTTTTTTCAGCACGAGTCCAAGTCAGCCCCGGTGCAGGTACCCCCCACTCTCAATGTTTTCAACGTGATGGAGCCCAGCCGTAAGCCGCAGCCTCCGCAGAACCTAGCGCTCTACACTCTAGGACCCAAGGGTCATGGCGGGGGTCCGCAGCAGACCCCGCGCTTCAACCCCATCACAGTGACGCTGGCCCCGAATCCCCAGACCGGCCGCAACACCCCCACTTCTTTGCACATACACAGCGGGCCCCAGTCGGGCCTGGGGAGCCCACAGGGCAACTCCATCTTCATCCGGCCGTATGTAAGCCAGTCCAGCTCGGGGCGGCAGAGCCAGCAGGCGGGGGGGAGGGCCCAGTACAGCCCCACCTCTCAGCCACAGCAGCAGATCTACCAGTTCTCCCATTCCTCCCCCCTCCCCAGCTCGCGCCCTGTCCCCCAGCACTCCTCCTCACATACCTCACGGACCTCTCACGTCTACATGCCCATCAGCTCCCCCACTAACCCCCAGGCGCCTGCCATCCCCTCCAGTGGAAGCATGGCGTCGTCGTCTAGCATCCCCTCCTGTCCCTCTTCGTCCTCCTCCTCTTCCTCAGTCATGCCCTCCTCCCAGTCGACCGTCAGCCAGTACAACATCCAGAACTTCTCCACCGCCCCCCGGAAGAATCAGATCGAGATCAAACTTGAATCTCCTCAAAGGAGCAATTCCAGCGCCGCTGTGAGGCGGCCGAGCAGCGGGCACTGGTCATCTTCCTCCTCCTCCTCCTGTCCTCCTTCATCTTCCTCTTCAACTGGAGCGGCTACTGTCACCAGCACCCCTCTGTCCATCGGAGGGCCGGGCTCCTGCCGCAACCAGCCAACTGTTTACATCTCTGCCAGCCCCCCCACTGCTGCTACCGCCCCCTCTGAGGAGGTCATGATGCCGCCGCCGAGCTCCCGCTCCCAGCCCAAGTTTTACATTTCTGCCAGCGACGAGGGCGGAGCCAGAAACCCTCCTACAGTCTACATCTCAGCTAACCCTCAGATACAGGGGCCCTCTGGCGCCAGGAACATCGGGGGGCAAGTGAGCATGGGCCCCGCCTACATTCACCACCACCCGCCTAAGAGTCGCCCCTCTGTGGGAGGCGGAGGCCCCGCCTCTTCGCCTCGTGTTGTAGTGACTCAACCCAACACCAAATATACCTTTAAAATCACTGTGTCTCCCAACAAACCCCCGGCTGTGTCCCCTGGAGTCGTGTCCCCGACCTTTGAGCCCAACAACCTCCTCAGCCTGCCGTCGGACCACCACTTCCCCGAGCCGGAGCCGCTGCATCTGTCCGACCCCGACCCGCTGTCGCCGCACAGAGAGCGGCCCAGCGAGCCCCGCAGGCTCAGTATGGGTTCTGATGACGCGGCGTACACACAGGGTGAGCAGCGCTTTCTATTTTCTCTTCTCTACAGGAAGTGATGTCCCATTTGTCGAATAAAAATAAGCCGAGACTTGTTTAGTCACCTTGTTAAATGGCAGAACTCCGTCTTAGAACGCAATACTTTTCTTTTAAGACTGACAATGATTTTTTTTTTACTTTCGGCTCCTTAAGATCGCCAATTAAATGTAAAATAATAGCAAATATTGGTAATAATATGTTGAAACTCAAAAAGAGATTTGATCCTTAAAAAACGGGTGCAATACAGTTTTTCCGAGTGGAGTTGCCATATGTTGATGTCATAAGAAGGGGCGGAGCCCTGAGCAGATCTGCTTCCTACAGCGGCCGATTCAAGGAAAAAAGCGCTGATATCTGTTAAAATATTATAAAATATATATAAAATATATCTCTAGTTCTTTTAACCAAACAATAAGCATTTTCATTATCATCATAGCTTTAAAATCTAGAGGAGTTCCACCATATCACTGTAGTTGAGCTGCTCACTGTTATTGGAGATAAATCCTTATTCAAAAGGTTTTATTCAGCGATAAAAGGCAATTTATGGTTCTACATCTGTCCTACAGTATCCTAGAATATTCTTTTGGATATTCATATAAATATCCGTTTTTTTTCAAACCAGAGGTAATACTCTTTCCTTCGCTGCTGCACCTCTTCTCCCCCTGAAGGTGCCGCTCCTTTCACGACGTCGACTTTGAGCAGGCATGCACTGTAAAAATGTAAATGTAGGTTAGACAGCTTACCAAGCAATTAAAATGGTTTACATTTAAAATTAGTAAAATAAACATCTGTTATTGTATTTGCTGTGCATAATATCTAATTATTTTATTTAACTGGCAGGTCAGCTCAGATTTACTTTCAAATACACTGATTTTGAGAAACTAAATTATCTTAGATTAATTTCCACATGATTTCTTTCTAAAGTGGGCATGGTGTTTACTGGACAGACGCAGCGGGAGTAAAAAAGGTGCTTCCTGGAGGGGGGTGCCCTACCTGGGACAACTGTAGTAAGGATTTTGTTGATTAAAAAGTATCATAACCGTTGAAAGCTAAAATAAAACATTGAATGCTATAGGCCAGAGGTCACTTATTAGCGGACCAGGGTCCGGATCCGGACCCACCTGCTCGCTAATCCGGACCCAACCTGATTTCAAACATTTATAAATTACCGCATATTTGCGTGTCTAATTTCACTTGCACTGCTTTTTCTGTTAATACGGTAAAGCCCTCCAGAGCGTCCGGCTCCAGGCTACACGTGATCCAAATGATCCAATGAGCTGCTGTCAGTCTGGGTTGCTGCTGCTGCTACTTTTAGACACAGCAGGCAAACCTGTGGCAAGCCGGGCGATGGGAAAGAAGGAGAAGAAGATGAGAAAAAGAGAGCAGAGAAAGTGTGGACTGCTGGAAGAACTGTGGTGAACTGGTAAAAGAAAAGTGAAATGGTGCTCAAAGGAGACCCTGCACATTTAGAGCAGGCATCCCCAAACTTGGTCCTCGGGAGCTGCTGTCCTGCAGGTTTTAGAGGTTTCCTTGCTCAAGAACAGCTGCTTTTAATTGAAAGCTGATTAACAGGCTTTTGCTCTACTGCAATCATTATAATCAGTTGTGCTTAAGCATTGAAACCTCTAAAACCTGCAGGACAGCGGCCCTTGAGGACCGAGTTTGGGGATGCCTGATTTAGAGGATGTTTGGCTCAACCTGCTGCTGTGAAGCAGGATTCTCCACCATGAACAGAATCAACAATAAATCTGGATCCAGGCTCAAAATGAGCTCCTTGATATGTGCTTTAGAATGGCTTAGTCTCCATTTAAACCCAGGTTTAAAGCCTTGCAGGGCAGCATAAAGCCCACTGCTCTCATTAAGACAGAAAATGGTCAGTTCAGGTGTTTTATTAAATATGTGAATCAGGAAATTGTCTATATACCAAACTAAATGATTGTTGTTCTCTACTACAAAACACACTCTAGATTTTAAAGATTTTGAAAGATTAGAATTTTATTCTCCGGACCTTCACTGTTTGATGATTTTCTTTATTCGGACCCCAGTGATTTTTGTTTGCTTACCCCTGATATAGGCTCTTTATCTATTCCACGTCTTTGTTCATGACAGATGAAGAGAACTTCCCAAACGACACCAGGAACAAGGGACATTGTTTCTCAGCTGCTTTGAACTGGTTTTATTAGTGATTAGCTCAGTGAATAAATATAAGCTCCTCCTCTCTCTGGAGTTTCTGTTCAGTAAGTATTCATACCGTTGATTGGTCAGCTACAACGCTGCCAGATGATCCATCCTTCATGCTCCATAGCACATAGATGTCAGACAATACAGCTCAGCAGCAGGCTCCTCCTGATGATCATAATTCGCCTTGCATGTCTTGAGCCTATATAAAACATTTCCATATGTACAGCTTAGAAGATCACTTCCTATGGAGTCTAACAGCCATGTTGGATTGGAAACTACCGTAAAACTCATTAAAGCGGTTTAAACTTTGATCTTTCTCTGGTTTTTAGGCAGAAAAGGTTTTCCTATTTTTATTCTTACTCGTTTTATTATCCCATAGAGGCTTTAGTAACCAATAAAGTATATACTGTATAATTTGAAAAGTTTCTTACAAAAACATGGACTTTAAAAGTATTTGTTGAGTGGGGCTGTGTATACTTGCTGTCAGCGCCGTGGCGGAGACTTTTCCACACGGAGGATAAAAGCAGAGGTGAGCTGCAGAGTAGGGACCGGTGTGATGACTACAGCGTGAGTCCTCCACAGTAAAGGCTCTGTTTGCCCCCATCAGCCCCTGACTACAGATCCTGTAGTGAGTCAAACATGTGCATGCAGAGCACTGCTCTTTCCTTTTTTGGACTTTCAACTGTATCATGTGTGAGTCACTGGCTTTGGCTCTGTGGCGACTGCTCCACTGAACACTTGATGTGCATTAGTTTTAGTTTTTTTTTTTTTTTAAACCCTGCTATTGATCGGCCGCCTTACGGCAGGCTGAGGTGTGTTTTAGAGCCACCTGATTCAGACACACCTGTCACCACATAACGGTTAATTTAACTCTGTTTTTACCACCAGTCGCCAAAGATCGTATCGCTCTTTGTTTGACAGCAGAATATCATTTTTTTTGTGTTGCGCAACGTTTCACCTCCTGTTGCGCGTGTAAAGACCTGTTAGAAATGTAGCTGCGCTGTTAGGCCGGTTCAGCTTGAAAAAAAGAAAACCTCGAAAGTTCTGATGGTCTTTTTTACTTTGAACAGATTTCTTTGTGTTTTTGGATAATCATTAACGTTAAAGGTATAGTTGGTAGAACAAGAAAAAGAGCCTTAAGGTAGTATTTTGGTAACACCCCAATCTTCAAATCCTAAATCACCATGGCAACAGGTCAAATCTAAACCTTGATTGGCCTATAAATACTCATAGAGCTTATCTTTGTGCTTCTTCTCTCCCTGCCAGGAAGAGTAAATCAAAAGATCCTCCCTGAAATGTTGCGTTCAGATTTAGCTGTTGTTGAGTAAACTGGCGCCGCTGCACCAGCAAAGAGCTGTCGTCCCTGCAGGCTGGAGCTCCACCCGTTGGCCCCTACCCCTTCAGATGCTAGCTTAGCTCCTGACATAAAACACCGACAGCATCAGATCAAATATCTCCACTTTGACGCTTTAGAAACTTGTCCTAAACTAGAGGCTTTGTGGAGCGTAACGACGTTAGCTGGCTCTTATCTGCTCCATGTAAACCCACCTCCAACCGTTAAAGGGGCCCAGTCACTCCCCCCCACACATTTGTAGTTTGCTTTAGTTCCATACAGAGGCTTTCAGATTAAATTGAAGAGCCCTTTTGCTTGTTGTATATCATTTCTGTGTTTTATGCCTCTTTTTTGGGTCCATTTGACATTAGACTTAAAGTTCAGTTTTGCCACATTTCATTTGCCCAGAAACAATTTTTACTTGCCCAGTATAATGTTTGATAAATATAGTTTCTAATATTAATTTCTGTATATATATCAATGAAACATGTTTGTTTTTTTAATGTTTTTTGTAGTTCAGTATTTTTTAAGTTTCCAGGTTCCTGGTGTGTATATGCATGCGTCAGATAATGAACTCAAGCCTACATTACAGTATTAACATGCTTTTCAATCTTTCCTGCACATTCTTTTCGAACTAAACTTTGCTTTAAACTGTTGTGTGTTTGGAAAAATATAAATTGTAATGTTAAAAATCTAACAGGTTAAAACAGGTTAAAAACTAAAGACAGAAGTCAATGTCACAAATGAAGAACTTTTATTTTAGAGTCACGGTATGTTTATACAAGATAATACTGTTAATATAATGTGACTTTTCTAGAGAATCATTAGACATAGTTATTTTATGCAGGGTTTCCAGTCTTACATAATTTCAGAATTCCCTGACTTTTAACTGACTCAGGATTAGTTTTCCCTGACAAAATAAATGCAGCAACAAGACAATAATAATAACAGGTCACCAATTTAACAAGTTTAGCTCTATAACATTTAAATGCACCTCTCCAACGTCTAAGAGAAAAACATTTAATGACCATTTTTTTTAATGTATGACCTGCATCACTGTACAGAAGACTGCCATATGATAGCCATATTTACACTGTGCGCATGGCATACAATTATGCCAATTTTCCTAATACCTGACTGATCATTTTTAATCTAGGGTTATCTGGGTGGAGGGTAAAATAGGTGGTGGGTGTGTTACTGTACATACATTTTTTTGCCTTGTTGTTGTTGTTCCCGGACAAAAATCACGCCATCTGGAGGAAAATCACGCGAATTGTGTACAAAACAACAAAAATTGCGCCGGCAATGCTTCTGGGTCATTTTTATCGAATGTCATGATTTTAAAGTAATTTTGAGTGATAAATAAATTTTTCTTGCGATCATTGCACTTGCCTGGCGGGCAAATGCAATTTTTTAAATAAAAACGACTTGCCCCGGGCGATTGGGCAATGTATATATATATATGAAAGTGGCTCTATTTATTTGCCTTATCTGACCAACCACCTCTGGATGTTTCCTGCCTCAGGCTGTTTTTTTTATATTAGATGTTGGTGGAAGTAAGGCTCTGGAATGGGGGAGTTTTCCTAGTTTACTTTGCAATACCACAAGACCAGAGGTATGATATTGCACATGGTCACAATGAGTAAGCAAGGATGTAACTTCCCCAGATGAGCACCAAAAGAAATGAAAAAAAATCTAAAATCTAGTGTGAGGAAGCAGGAGAAATGCTGAACACCAAGAGAAATGAAACATTTGTAGCCATCAGAGGACAGTGTGACTTTTTAAAGCCTCTGCAGAGCACAGATCTATAGGGGCTGCCAGCAGGTACAACGATGCATCTGCTAATCATGCCTGGCTCAAACATTTTGTTTTAGACTGAAAAGGACCAAGTAAACATTATTAGAGACCAACATTTCACGTATATATAACTATATTTTAACAGGAACATCTGACAATGTTTAGTGCATTACTGGGTCCTGTAGGAGGATCCCTGTTAGCATGGCCTCTAGAACTGGTTCCTAAAGCCTCACCCTTCCTCAGTGATCTCTGCAGGGCAGTGATGGAGCATATGAACAGATACAGAGAGAGAAAAAAGAATAGACGCTGGCATCATGTGGTTTTTACACCAAACATTACAAGTCAGCTTGACTGTGGTGGTGGAGGTTAGAGACAGGCTACTTCCTGGAACAATGTCACTTCTTCCTCTACACAAAGGTGGCCTAACGTGTTTCAGCTTCCATTGGTGACATTCTAATGTCTGTCTGAATGTTGAGCCAAACCTCCTCCTCCTAATAATGAGTTTCTCTTTCTCTCTGCCTTCAGCGTTGTTGGTTCACCAGAAGGCTCGAATGGAGAGACTTTGGCATGAGTTGGAAATGAAGAAGAAGAAGCTGGAGAAGCTAAAAGAGGAAGTCAATGAAATGGAGAATGACCTGACCAGGAGAAGGCTGGAGAGGTCCAACTCAGCCTCCCAGATTCCTTCTGTAAGAGGATTGTGTCCGGATTTCAAACCAGCATCCTCAGGTTTTCTAAATAAGGAAGAAAATGACAAGTCTTCTCTTCTGTTCTTCCTTCAGATTGATGAAATGAAGAATCTGCGATGCAAAAATAGGACTCTGCAGATTGACATTGACTGCCTCAGCAAAGAAATTGATCTCATCCAGACAAATGGTAGGAACCAGTTTCTTCTGTCACTCCTCTAATTCTCACTATTTAGTCTTTGATATTTTCCAGTCAAACATCCTTTTTTTTTTTTTTTGCGTCTCTGTTTTGTGAGGCGGTAAGTAATTAAGTAAATAAAGCAGGGAAGCAGCAGCCGGCTCACCTCCTCTTTGCACAGCGTGCTGTTAGCTACCAGTTCTTCCTGAATTGCTTCCTGTTGCTGCCGGGTAACGAGAGATTTACAGCCCCCACGACAGGACGGCGCTGCCACAGGCTACACAACGGTTAAGGAAGGATGTGCTGCCTCTCCTTCATAGATGTGTGATTGATAACGCACTTCATAAAGTATTTCTACATACGGGCAATGCTTAAGTTTAAATCTCAAGGAAGAATAAAAAGAAACCAGAATCCAGGAGCTTTTGTTTTTTTACCTTTAGCCAAGAAATCATGTGCATGATGGCAGCAATTGTTGATTTTCCGTTTCCACTGTCCTGATTTTTTTTAACCTTTTTATAAATGAAAATCTGTAAAACATTTAATTTAAATTCAATCTTTTTTAAATGTTATTGTCATCGAATTACATACATTTTTAACTGTCCAGATAATTTTAAAAACAAAATCTTTCCACATAAATGCTCTCTTCGTCTAACAGAGATTAAAAGTTCTATAAATCTACAACAGCTTCACATTCATCTCACTGACAAATGAAACGCTGAAATAAGACGAAGAATATCTGATGATATCTGACCACATTAAAATGTTCTTTACCTTTAAGTTAGCGTTTTTGTTCCCTTACAAATGGAATATGTTTTGTAAATGGAAATTTGAAAATATTCCAATCCAGAAATGAAACTTGGAGACGTCTTTATCCTGAAAAAGGATGAGACTGACTTTGCTGTATTCTCAGGAATTTGATTAAACATATTTCAATATATTTTTCATTTATTTCTATATTTCAGATTCAGTTTATATATATTTTTATTATTATTTTTTTTTTTAGTTCTCTTTTTTTCAGATGTGAGTTTTATGAATTGCAATCTTTCTGATTGCGTTTTCCAGATCACATAGGCCGTTTCTTAGTTCACAAGAAAGTGAGTTTGGACTCGTCAACTATGTTCTTGCCAAGAACAAAAGAAAGTGTGGGCTCGGGAAGAATGGGCGCACGCAGCATAAATATGGGTCAATTGGAACAGAAGCGTACTGATGACATCACCAGACCTATTGGGTCTGCTGGATGTAAGCAGCATTTCTATTGGCCGCTGGATGTAAGCAGCATTTCTATTGGCCGCTGGATGTA